CGACGTGGAGAACTTTACACTTACTTTTATTAAACCTCGTGAGCCATTTCTTGCTCCACTCGTCCAAAAGACTTAAATCTCGCTCGGCTCTAGCCCTATCCGCCTCCCCCCTTATGGTAAAACCTATCTTGGTGTCATCGGCAAATTTACTTATCTTACCCTCTACGCCGAGTATCTACGAGTATCTCAGCCGGATGCACGAAAACTTGAGGCTCCATTATGAGAACTCGAGGACTCAATTACGGGAACATTTGGATAGGGAGAGAGCAGGAGACTGGGACTTGGAAACGTTGTGGAAGACAGACTGGAATATCTGGAAGCCATCTCGATGCAAGTAAGTCATTCACATGTTTACGATGCCACTACATCCGTTTTTTTTTAGTAATTTCGAAAGAGAGAAATTCAATTCGTGTTTTTTTTGGCAGCGCCCAGGAACTGCAAAGCTCTGGCGCATCTTGGAGTTTCGAAGACGGGAACGTACCTTGTGGACCCAGACGGTGCTCTCATCGGTGATCCGCCCATCCAAGTACTCTGTGACATGGAAACAGGTTAGTCGAGGGAATGATGAAACCATTTCATTATTTAAAAAAACAAAAAAACATTATGCAACGCAAGATGCTCTCTCAGGTTAACCCTACCCTGAACTGTGAACGATTTCCTTAGATCCAGTGACCATTATTATTACACACGATTTAATGGAAACCAAAGAGATCAATGTCCTGATCTTGACTGCTACAGTCGGAAGATTACGTACAATGCATCCCTCACGCAAATAGTCTCTTTGACCTAGCAGTCGGAATCTTGTGACCAGCAAATAGAGGTAAGTCGAGCATGCCAAACTCAGATACACCGTGAATACGGAATTCAGTTTTATTTTTTCGGGAAAGCAATCGATTTTCGCTTTTCCTTTCTGTATGGCTGCTTCTACCCAGGCATAAACGAAGGAGAGATACTCTATGTTTGGTGACTTGACCGTCATAGGCAACCTCAGTACTACTGAGATGAAGCGGATGCGGGAGAAGGGCTTTGCATGTGCGGTCTCAACGGCGTCGATTCCTTAATGTTTTGCAAATGCAATGTTGGGGCCACCCGAAGAGAATCTCACTCTGGAGCCATCACCGACGTAGCAGCACTGCCTATCACTGAGCTACGGTTTGGTGGGCTTAATATTGAGGATCAAAAGGCCAATTATACTCTGGGCTGATTGGCTTGCAGGGGTGCGGCTCCTAAACCAGAACATCCAGCAACATCATGTTCGTCTTTGCACCAAACTAGAAACGTTCGTTCGGGATGCCATCTGATCAGCATAAAAGGAGGACAATGTGATGTAGTCCTTTGCCGAATGGATTTGGAAGAGACCCATCCAGAGTTTCAGTTGGAGACCGGTGCTCGCCTTCAAGAGGGTGGGGTTATTTTGCATGCGTAAAGAAGATCCGACTACGACGTGGAAAACAGCAATTAGGTACGAGGGGACAGAAGTGAATATCGGGAATGCAAGATGCTCTCTCAGGCCAACCCTGTTATGAAGTGTGAACGATTTCCTTAGATTTTCGGTGACCACTATTGTTCTGCAATGTGTGGTCACCTTTCACCGAATATGATAACCAATATGATAGCCAATAATCAATTAAATTACCAATTTTGCCATATTTCTCAACTTCGAAGAAAGTCAGGCACTAGTGCACTTGGCAAACTCCCTCCACCACCTCCTCCTTCCCATCTCCCCTCCCCACATCCAACCTTGAATCCTTGAGACCTCGAGTCTTAATGTTGTTGTCAACTGATTATTATGTTGCACAGGACTCAAACGCGAGACGTGTCGCCAACATTCCCCAGACCAATCGTGTAAGCACAAACACTCGATCGCTGAAACCGTCGTCCGCGTTCCAGTCCTCGTAGTGCCATCACCCCGCGAGTGTGAAATAAAGGAAGCTGCCTCGAATCACATCAGCAGGTGAGATCATAAAGACAGTGACTGGCTCTTCACGTTGAGACTTCATTTGTTATAATAGCCGGACAGAATCGATTTATCGATAGGCGCTTAGGCGCCTATTCCCATTCATGGACCCCTCCCCGTTACAAAATGTAACTTTCTCGTATTCCTCTCTGAAAGCATCTAGGCCGACGGATCCGAACCACATCGTGTTTACGCCCGCCCCGCTTAGCAACCCCGGCTTGGCGTCGAGCCACCTTTTTTTTAAAGAGGAGTTCCAGGAAATGAAGCCTATCAGACAGATGTTTTCTTGACACGATGAATTAAACAATAAATAAAAGATAATGGACTGCAACAGTTCAAGGACAAGCTCACAATTAGGAACAGGCCGATCACTCGCCATGATTGATAAGAAAGACGCCCACATGCTTTCTGGCCCACAAAAGATTCAGTCGGACGATAGCCACCATGATGTGATGTTCTTTTTCAACACCCGAACGACAACGACTTTCCCTTATGATGAATTGCCTGAGGGTGCCGACTGTTGAGAGAGAGAGAGATGTCGTCGTGTTGCCAATCCCTTAGGCCGGAATCGGGACGCGACCGAAAAAAACGCCTTATCGCATAATTCGAACTGGCAACGAATACTATGTATCATAAGGTAGGAAGAAGTACCGAGAATTTCCTTTTAAATCGAAGCACTTCGATAGTTTCTATTTCTGCTTGGCAGTCCTAAGTCCCTGTCTAGGAAGCATCTTACACGAATTCATCGCAGTCCATTACTTTATTCCACTGGCAAGTGAAATCTTTTCTTAATATCGAAGTTGTTGCTTTCTAAATCGCTCGAATTCCGGATTACATCGGAGGAATGGCCATTTGACGACTCACGGCGGATAGTAACTTTCGAAACAGGCAGGAAAAAAGGGGACCGGCGTGCATTTTCTCACAAAAGTTTCTCGGTTCTCCAACCCCTACTGCCTGAAGTCGATCCAGTCTCGCACCGAACGGTCGATTAAATATTACCTGTCCCTATTTGTTCATCCGATGATTCTATTCCAATCCAGCAAATTCCTCTTTCGTGATGTCCTTCTTCATCTCCAGGCCTGAAGAAAACGCTCTAGAAAGAAGTGCATTATTATGAGGGGCGTGGAATCTCTCCTCGTGTTTGCCCTCATCGCATCCACCAAACACGGTTTTGCAGAAGTGAGTCGAATAGAGCCACCCTGCTTAGCTCAATCCTTTGCCGAGTAAGAAAGAAGTCCCTCGTGGCGAACTTTCCTCCCCGCCGACGACCAAGACGAACCAGGAATTAAAGCCTTTCAAGTGATTCCTGTCAATGCTGCTATTGCAGCGATTAATTTTTGTACTAAATATATTATGTTGGATTGAGCGAATCCCACAGCTCCCTCTTTGGCAAAAACTGCGTTAAACTTCGCCCTGGCAATCGACCTGGCACTCCTCCAATTGTGACTTGCGCACAGCTGAACTCAAGCTACTGTAGAAAGGAGCGATCAGCGGGGACGGCTAAAAATGTTGTGAATATGTAAAGCTCCATTCGCCATCCTTGTCCAGAAAATGTCACCCATCGGGTCAGTTTCTGTTGAAACCTCCATTACCAGAGGTGGACTTTACCTATATTTCATTTTTATATTCGTTCCTCGACAAAACTGGATACAGACAAATGGACTATGCCATTTACTGAACGATTTCTTAATTCGCTGCGCTCTGGGTCGTCGGTTTTCTCGCATAGGCAATTGGTCCCGCCAGTCGAGCTGATGTAAATATCATTCCATTTTTTCACATATTAATAGGTACTCGTGGGAAAACTCTTTGGGATATTCGAACATAGGAATTTCAGGGTGAAAAATGCACAATTTTGATAAATATTTATTTGGGAGGGGAAGGGGTAAATACCAAGTACTAACAATACAGTTTTACATTTTATGCTATACGTAGGAAAGGTCGTTATGTATCTCTAATCCGTAGAAAATTAAATGAGTGAGTACATTTTATCCGTGGTCTTTCCAGAAATTTCCAGTGAATTTCACCTCTGGATCGAAAAGGAGTGACTCCAAAGATGAGAGTAAGTTGTCTGCTTTGATAGCAAAAGCTGAAGAGCATGGTAAGCGCATTGCACGACTCGAGGTGGACAGTGGGCATCTTTGGCATGACAACGAGAACCTGAAGCGTGAAAATGACAACCTGAAGCGCGACAATGAAAATGCGATGGAAACCGTGGAAGGCCTGAAGGACGACAACGAAAACCTGAAGCGGGGCTATGAAGACTTGAAGCGAGAATTCCAAAAGCTGGAGAATGACTTTCAAGACCTGAAACATGAAAGGGAAAACCTGACGATCGACCTCCGAATCCTAAAGCTGGATAACGAGAACCTGCGCCTCGGCAATGCACACCTGAAGTTCCAACTACTTGAAAGTCTGCTTGAGAGAGACAATGCTATGCAGCTTCAGCAGGAAGCCATCGATGAAAGACTTCAGTATCTGGAGGCTACAACACTGCAAATCGGTGAGTCCAAGTTTGTAGGGACCTTCGTCTATGATTTCGAATAATTTTGCTAATGGAATTTTGGGACAGCGCCCAGAACATGCCAAACCTTCGCCGATTTGGGAGTTCAACGGACAGGAACGTACTTTGTGGATCCAGATGGTCCCCTTCTCGGGGATCCACCCATCAAAGTACGCTGTGATATGGAAACAGGTCAGTCCATCGCGTATGAAATGCAAGTCATTTAGCCGTTCTGTCATAAGCCATTCTCCAGAGACGATGCTGCCTGTAGCGCACTTTGTGAGGAACCACTAATTTTTGAGTAGATCCGGTATCCACGATCGTTGCGCACGATTCGATGGAGATCGGTATGGTGATCGTTCCTTGTGCTGATCCTGGCTGCTTCAGGCGACGCGTTACTTATGATGCAACGCTCAAGCAGATGGTGGCGCTGATCAATCAATCTCATTCCTGCGAGCAACAAATCACAGTGAGCTCATTCTTTCCACACTACATTTTGACCCATTGAAAAAATGACCAACATGATGTGATAGAAATTACTATCGACTTATCTTTAGTACGACTGCATTTCGGCGGCCCTGAGTACTGGAGACACACAGAACGCATGGTGGGTGGACCGCCACGGTCAACCTCAATCTTACTGGCATGGATCGGGCTCAACAAATCACACGTGCAGGTGTGGACTACTGAAGGACTGTACCGACCCAAATCTGCTTTGTAACTGCAATGCAGAATCTTCCAAAAGGCATTCCGATTCAGGAACGATCACCAACGCAACAGCGCTGCCTGTCACTGAGCTCCGATTCGGGGGGATGCAGCTCGAGGAACAGGAGGCCAATTACACTCTGGGCGGATTGGTTTGCAGGGGACAGGCTCCTCACCAGGGTAACCCAGCTTCATCATGCTCATCATTGCGCAAAGCTGGAAACACTCGTACGGGATACCATCTGATCAGCAGGAAAGGAGGACGATTGGATGTTGTCCTTTGCCAGATGGATTTAGAGGAGACAGATCCAGAGTTTCAAGTTGAAACCGGAGCGCGTATTCCGGATAGAGGCGTATATTTCAATGCGTACAGAAAATCTCCCTGGAACATTAGAGGCACAGTGGAATTCGAGGGGACTGAGGTGAACATTGGAAACGCAATGGATTCGAACAGCGGAATATTCATCGCACCCTTCGATGGTACTTACGCATTCATTCTTCACTACCTCACTAACGCCCGAACCGACTCCGTAGAATTGAGACGAAACGGAACGATTCTCGGAAGATCGTACTCCAGAGGAGAAAATTACAGGATGTCCGGACAATCCATATTACTGGACCTGAAGAGGGGCGACAGAGTCCAAGTCCACTTGGAAAACGGAGAATTGTTCTCAAACGATAACCGTTTTGTCCACTTCGTAGGATTTTTGCTGTACCCTTAGTAATATGACGAACAAGAACATGTATTTTCTTTTCTTTCTGTTCCTTTCGTTAAAATGCTTTTTTTTTTCATTTCTGTCAATGACCGTCAAACGAGCTCGTAACGAGATGAAACGTCTGTTCCATTAACAATAAAAATTAAATTGTAAAGTGTCAGAACCTGAAGGAAGTTAGTTGACCCGGAAGTTAACGTTTATCGTCTATTAGATAAGCTCTTTCAAAAAAAGAAATTATTTATGAGGATATGAAGAGACGAAATGTCAGTTCCTCAAAGTTTGCGGAAGCTCTTAGACATGAAACGATCGAGAAACTCTCCATTCCGAGATTCTTATGAATTCCAGAAGTGCATGTCTCCCATGTGAGCTTTTTTTTTTCCCGACAATCGAGCAAATGAAGATAACCCGAACGTCTTCCTGCCCGTTTCGTCGGATTTTTTCCATGTCCCGCAAAAAATCCCTCATCGCACTTTCAAGCAGTCGGACGCGCATTTCGTGCACCGCTGATCTTCGTGGCGACAGACGAATGGCCTCGACGGAAAAGGCGAAAAGAGCCGGCTCCTGCGGCAACGATCGGAAACATCTGAAAAGAAACAGATTTTAAATGAATCTCGGAAAGACCACTTAGAAGAAATTTCGTATCTGTGCCTGGGTCTTCAGTTTGTTTTCCCTTGCCGTTCCTGAGAGTGATCCCATCGGTATCCCACGTTACAATAATTTTTAAATATACAATTTCCAATACGTTAAAATTGCGCTTTTTTTTATAAGTGTGCTAAAATATGCTTTCATGATACTACCAGTGCGAAAATTCTTTTTACTATGCTCGAGTACTTCAAGCAGACTCCTCACTAAAACGAGATGACTGAAGACTTCAGTCTTCTTGACTATGTGATCAACGTATAACAACGTTTAACGCACCTGATGTTTACCAGTCGTTGCTGATTTTATATATACTAAGTTCATTTTTATGAATATTGATGGAACGTTGACATCAACCCAAGCAGCATGTTTACGTAAACAAGGTATCAATTTATTGCAAACAGTGTAAATTTCTTGCGATTGCCATGAAAATGACATCACGTTTACGTCAAATTTACGTTTCTATATTTACGTCACCGAAGTGTACGTGTATTTTACATAAACTAGACGTCACTCCATCTGATGTGAAGTACATGATATCAAGTTTATGCAAAGTTAACATCAATATTCATAAAAATGAACTTAGTATATATAAAATCAGCAACGACTGG